CATGAAATGTTTCAAACACTAAAAAGACTTTTTCAAAAAGATACTGAAACCCAAAAATGTGCATTACTTCAGGACTTTTACAATATCAAGTACAATAGAGTCAATTTCTCTATGATGAGTAACCTTTGCCTAATACAGAACCTAACTTATAAACTAAACCAACTCGACCAGAAAATAGATGACACAATGGTGATAACAAAGATCCTGACGATACTACCAGAAAGCTTCAGACATTTCAACAGTGCCTGGGACTCGACATCAGCTACGGAAAGGACACTCGAAAATCTGAAAGCTCGACTCGTTCAAGAGGAAAGTAAGATGAAATCCATGGACAGCAGTAGTGGTAATGAAAGTACAGTTTTTAAGGCTAGCTCTACTCAATATGAACAAGGTATGACTAAATTTAATAAGCCTAATAATGTAAAATGTTTCACTTGTCAAAAGATAGGTCACATTCAAAAGAATTGTCCTAGTAAAAAGTTTTGCTCAGTAAAAAGTAAAATGGCCCCGTAGATCTTCTGATCTTTCGTTGTGTGATTTTTTACAACGTTTTTATAATGCCAATGCCTCAAACACTTCAAGAGCTCCGTGGACGAATTCACAATGCTGTAGAATCAATGAACCTTGCGATGCTAGCCGGTGTATGGAACGATTTACAACATAGATTGGAAACTTGCTCCACGGCTAATGGACGGCACATTGAGCACTTATAGGGGTATCTATGAAAAATTTAAGAGTTCTCCTTTCTGTTGATATATTTTATAGCCATATTTGTTTAACATTAACGTCAATAAAATGTTTTAAAACCTGATGATTCTTTTATAAACGCCCTGTATAATATAAAGATAAAATGTGTACCTAACAATAAGGTAAGTATTACTTGTTAAGCCTGCCTGTGCTGGAAAGGGACAGCTGTTGTGAACTTGTTGGAATAACAATAGAACAATTGAATGGTGGACAAACTATTAGTAAAATGTGTATTTAGGAATGTTGTGACAATTTATCTGAATAATAATTTTGTTTTATATTGTAAAATAAAGTGAATATTTATTTGTTTAACTATAAAAATAAAAAAAGTAAGAAAACTCTTCAAAAAAAGATGTCCATTCAATAAATAAAAGGACAAATAATATGAATGATAAACGAGTCCTCAACAATATTAGGGAAAAACTAACAAATAATAAAGCCATACTCACAAAAGCCGGTAAAGGCAATTCAATTGTTGTTTTATACCAGAACGATTACATAGATAAGGTTACCCGTTTTATCAATGACAACGGCATCACCCTGATTGATAAGGATCCAACTCTTAAGTATACCAGTGTTGTCAACAAAACAATTAGTTCTAGTAAAAATCTCTTGAAACCCGAGGAAATTATTACTTAAATGGAGCTGTCAAACCATAATATGTTAATGTAATTTCATAAGTATATAATTCTTTCAGTTACTTCATTTGTTTATGTTTATGATCTATTATACTGAGTCTGTTCTAATATTTGTGAAATGCTGTAATAATGTTTTACTGGGAAAAATTTGTTGTAAAAAAAATCATTTATAGATACCGGTATAGGAACTAGTTAATATTCTATAATCATTGCCGTATCAACCTAGGCCCTTATCGTGAGTTTTATGAGGTTTATTTCTTTTAATTATTTTTGTGTAAACCAGTAATATATAATCCCCCTGCCGCAGCAAATCTATAGACTGAGCGAATTTCCATTTGCCTGATTATAATTTCACAAAAATATGTTAGAAAATTACCCATAATTTTCCATATTTATTTATATTTTCCTTTTTTTCTATTTTTTGGTTTGGAACTATTGTGATAGCTTTTCGTTTACAGTGCAAACCATTAAACACATTCTTTTATTATACCTTTAAATCCATCATTGGTTTTGTATCGTAGGTAGGCCGAGCCTAAATAAGTATTAACAGTATGAGTTAACAAAAACGTACTATTATCAAGTTAAGTAATACAGTTAAATTTTGTTTCTAAATTAAATGGTAGGAGTGAAACCATTTGGCATTTTCAAAGAACCTATGTGTATCTTTTGCATACTGACCCCGTTGCAAGGCACGGGTATAGCTGCTAGCAAATACGAATAGTAGCGCTGATTTGCAGTAGTAGTTCAATAAAATAACAAAAGCGACCGGCTGACCGGCACAACTAATTGTGACCAACTGGATTGATTTATTTAGTATCTTATATGCATTAGAAATCATGTACTACCACAAAGTCTTCTTTCTACATCAATTACAATTCCATAATACCCCCACCGCAGCAAACCTGCAGCCAAAGCAAGTTTCCATTTGTGTGGCTTTATTTTCAATTCAATCTAATTCAATAACGTTAGGTTTAACGAGTACCTAGGTTTGCTGCCTACAGGGAGGGTAACTAAGTGTGATTTTTAGAACAATATTATTAGAGTATGAAATAAATAAATTTGCCAAGTTTAAAGAAAATCTATTCATAAACGAGCAATATTACAACAGTTTACTTATCCGACTAAATATTATAAGTAAGAAAGTTTGGATGTATATGGATGTATTATGTATGGATGGATGGATGTTTGTGACAAGTAAACGCGAAGAATACTAAACCGACAAGGTTGAAAGTTGGTATGACGATAGCTGACATTCCCGATTAACATATAGACATATTCTTACCTCAAAAATCCTTTCAGGCTCCGCCCCAGTGGCTCTGGCCATGGAGTGTCTCATGTTAACCTTATTAAAGTAGTATTCATTTTTAAAGAAATTAAAGAATTTTGTCAGCCTTTTCAACTGCACAAGTTGGTTCTATGATATTAAATAGCATTAAAAAGTTATAAGGCTTGCCAATAGGGTGCAGCACTATTATGTTTTTTGCATTTATGACCACAGCTAATTTGAACCAACTAGCAACAAAAAGTTGTGGTACACAATGAGAACTTTACTATTTTCCATGGTTTAGGTGCAGTGGTAGAACATTAGGGCTATGGTAGATGTGTGTTACACTATAGGATACCGTATAAATTAAAAGACCAAATTGTCTTAAACCGCGTCTTCTCCCATAACTGCAATAAACATTTATACTTATATGCAAACCCCGTACGAAGGACGGGTACTCTGCTAGTTATATAGATAAAACATAGTCTCTTAGCTATTAACCTACAAAATCAGAGCTATATTGCTTCGGTAGTTTAGGTGTGGTTGAAAGAACTGGGCGCTGGGAGGCAAAACGTGATAATTCCTCGGACGATTCGGTAACTGGGATATTCCCCGCGAGCCGGGTAGATGCAGGGAGACGTCCGCTCAATTACCCACCCGAACCAGTTTTGTCCAGCTCACGCACTGTCCGCCTCACGCGGGGTAGCGGATTTTTATCCCCCTGGAATTCTACCCCCTGGGCAAACGTGACGTCACAAACCAGGGGGTAAAATTCCGGCCGCGAACTTTTGAGTTTCGCGACATCAGCTCAATGGATAAAACGCGGAATTAAACATATATTTTCACGGTTGTGAATTTAATCAGAACACATCAAATTATTAAAACCTAAAATGTACGGCCCGGATTTTTACCCCCGGAATTTTACCCCCGGATTTTTACCCCCGGATTTTACCCCCGGATTTTTACCCCCGGATTTTACCCCCGGATTTTTACCCCCGGAATTTCACCCCCTGGTCAGATGTATAAATTAGTGAGAATGATTAATTATCTTCATTCGGTTTAAATTTAATATTAACAATTTTATTATTAAGTAGCCTATCTTAATTTATTTGTAACATTAACTAATCGAACAGGTTAATAATTTTAATTTTGAGATTCGAGTATCAGGATTCGATCTTGTTGGACTGTTGGTTAATACGATCAAAATAAAACTGCAAATTCTGTTTACTTAGTTGAGATTACAAAATAATTAAATAAAGATTGGCTACTAAATAATGAACTGTTAACAATTAATTAAAAACTGAAATAAGGAAATCAATCATTCCATTTCTAAAATCGGCCAGGGGGTAAAATTCCGGGGGGTAAAAATCCGGGGGTAAAATTCCGGGGGTAAAAATCTGGCCCGTACATCTTCAGTTGTCTAAACGCTAGTTATATGGACAGGGGGTAAAATTCCGGTTTTTATCGCTAATCTAATTAATCACGCTCTGACTACTTTCATTAGACTTCCAAATCCGCGGGGGTAAAATTCCGGCCGCGAACAAACTTTTGGCCATTCAGGTTAGTACGTCATAGTGACGTCAGCTTTGCCCAGGGGGTATAATTCCAGGGGGATAAAATTCCGGTGACCCCCTCACGCACGTCCGGGGGAAACACGGCACCCAGCTAATGAGAAGCCCACAGCTAGATGTCGTCGTAAGCTCATCTATACCTCCCCTGAGTAAATACCAGCTGTCAGCTGAGGTCTGACTTAAGGGAGGTACAAATGAGGCAACGATGACATCATAGTTGAGTTCAAAATTCCTCCGTTAACAGCGATGTAGTAGAGAGCACAGGGCGTGATTTTTACTTCACTATTAGGCCTAGTTAATTACAAACTTAAGAAAAATTATAAAATTAATCTCAAAATTTTTAAATTAAACTGTCATAACCTAACCAAACGTGCTGATAATGAAAAAATCGAATGAAGGTATTACTAATCTAAAAAATAGTTTTGTTCATAAAATAAAATTATAAATGCCTAAAATTCAATTTTATAAAATTTTTTAATTATAAAACTTAACTGTCATAACCTAACCAAACCAACCAAACTTGTTGATATGAAAAAAAATTGTTGTCAAAAAGTTAGTGCTGCCAGTGGGATTCGAACCCGGCACCTTCGGATTATCAGCCCGACACGCTATTCACTACACCACCAAAGCCGATGATGGGATTCCGTATCGTTGCGGTAATGGTAATGGTGTTCCCTCAAGAGGAGATCTGACAGCTGACGTCATCGAAGGCTCTTCTATACCTCCCTTGAGTAAATACCTGTCAGCTGTCACCACTGTCACTTCACTTCCAAAGTCAAACAAAACTATTTTGGGTTATTCGGTAATTGCTACCACTGAGCTATAAAGCTCAGTGATTGCTACATATTTTTATTTGTGTGTCTGTTTGTAACTGTAATTGGTTAATTTTGTTTTGGTATGTATTGTCGTATTGTATAGTATAACGGTAGGGGAAGGTGTTGTACCATGGACCTATTTTACCTTTTTATTTTGATATGACACTTTAAAATACAATAAATGTTAGTGGAAAGTAATCATTGTTCTTAAACACAATACATATATTTTATTTAACCTTTTATCTTCACCCAAAACAAATATTTTCAATTATTAAAAAAATGTTAACAATAGGACCAAGGTACAAAATTTTAATACCTATGTTGTACCGACCTCGGACCTGCATAATGTTGTACCTTGGACCACTGATTTTAAAGTAGAGGAAATAAATGTAGAAACACATTAACATTTTATAAGATTAATAATTAGTTTTTATTTGATAAAATATAAAAAAAACTGACCCTTACAATACATAGGCCTATTTTAATTTTAACCATATTTTGTAAGAAATTCACTCAAGTTCACTTATAGCCTAGTTAAGGCCTACGTCAAATATTTTTAACTGTCTTGGGGGCTCTGTCCTGTTCGTTTATAGTAAATTAAATTACAAATGCCTATAATAAACCTTTTTGACAGAATTATTAAAGTTTGCTTTTAGTAGCCTAAGCTTATGGTCCATGGTACAACCTATGAACTAGGTCCAAGGTACAACACCTGGCCATTTTGTCAAAACTTGGTTCTAGACTATTCTAGGTTAAGATTAACATGGTTTGAATCATATAAAAATGTAGCTGAGTTGTTGGTTTATAACTTAGCACCAAATTGCAAGCTGAGATAAACACTAAAAATTAAATCAAATCTAACATAATTAAAGAAAATTAAAAGTTGCATATACTTACTTTTACCTTATAAAAACTTGTTACAGTTTTCCTGTCAACAGGACACATACAATTCCAACTTGAACACATCAGGATAGACCTCTGTTAGCTAAAGCATTAACTAATGGTTCAAGATCTCCCTTTACTTAACAGATAGTGCTAAAATGAGTAGCTTATAGGCATTGACTTTATATCAACACCTGTAGATAAAGTGTGTAGATATAAAGTCAATGGTATAGGTCCAAGGTACAACACCTTCCCCTACATACCATTTACTTTCCACTGTTAAACTAAAAACAGTATTGAATTCTTTGTTTAATGTACAATCATTTCATGCTGTATTGTCACTTCTAATAGGTATTAAACTAAGTAGGCCTTAAGACCGAAAACACTGCCTTTTATAAAAAATAAACATGGGGAAGGGTCTGAACATAGTTTTAAAATAAAATAAATAGCCTAGACTGAAAATATATCACATTTACCTTCAAAATTAATCAAATTTAACTTTTACCTAAGGCTAACATTGTATGTTACTCGCCCAGTAAGCTGTACCGTACTCGCACAAAAATCATTGTCATGCTCGCATGGTAAAACACCACTTACCGGGCTAGTACCTATGTAATATACTATTACCTTGGTCCTCTTCACCATAGTTGTAGAGACTAGGGAAGCCTCATCTTCTTTTTTCTTTGTAGTTTTTTGTGTAAACATACTGTATGTGTGTGTATGGTGTAACTTATTTCTATTTTGTGGGTTCGTTTTAGGGCCTATCATTATAGTGAGCAGTGTGTGCTTAGTGATGCGTGATTGCAAGATGTTACAATCAAAACATTTCCATTGTTTCAACCTCTCGAGACATTTTGATTGTAATTTTGCTTAGCGAGAGGATTTATCGAGATGTTCGTGACGATTGTTTCGTTTCAGCACGGCTTCTCTCGTATCTTGCATTTGTCTAGAGAACCGAGAGGCGACAAGTCCTAAACGAGAGTCTTTTTAACCAAATGTTCATGGCGATTGTTTCGTTAAGTGCGGCATCGTAATTTATTATCATCTAATTTCTATTGATTGACCCCCAATAAGAGGTAATCTTACTTCAAAACCAAGGAAGGTTTATGGATATATTACTTACTTTATCTACGGAACTTAATACCACTCAATAACAACTATTGACAAGACAATATATTTTACAAACAAAATGTTTGTTTGAATCGAAACGAGACAGAAGGTTCTCATAAATGCTATGGATTATTTACCATTACCATTACCGGTACCGGTACCCATTACTTAAAAATAATTTTCTATTTCTGTTGCCATGACAGAGTGATGAAAGTGCGTATTTATATGTCAGCAGTATATATTTTGTGCATAATAGTCTACTATTCTATAAGAATCTAGAAATACCCCCGCCGCAGCAAACCTGCAGACTAAGCAAATTTCAACTTGTCTGATTACATTTTTACTAAAATATTTCCATAAATAAGACATATTTATTTCCAATTTAAATAACATTAGATCTAACAAGTGCTTAGGTTTGCTGCTACGGGGAAGGTAAAAAGTGTTTTTTGACCATATGTCAATAGTATAAGATGAAATAATAAATTTGCCAAATTTTATCAATCCATAAACAAGTAAACTACAACAGTTTTCATTTTCTCCATAAGAATAACATGGGAATTTTAAATTTCACTTTTTTTTTAATTTCTCCGTGACCGTTAGGCATACAACAGCGCTTCAATATACTAAATTATTTATTTTTTTAAGCTCTACAAAATGGTTGAGAAAGAAATTGCAAAATTTTTTGTTTTTAGGGTAAAAAATGGGAAAAACCCATTTTTAACCCATAAAACCCCCCATAAACCACTGTTCCCATGGTCCGATTATGCTGGTTCGCGAACTCGTTTGAATAAACGGAGGTTTACACGTTTGTACCAAATTTCACCAAAATCGGATCATTTTTGCCCAAGTTATCGCGCTAACGGACACATATATAAATATATATATATATATATATATATATTGTATTTAATATTGTTCACGTTTAGGGCTACTGTAATTAATATTAATAAATAATACACCATAGTACCCTTTTTTAAATTATTTTTTTTTATTTAAGTCATTAAAAATAATTTAAAAAAGGGTACTATGGTGTATTATTTATTAATATATATATATATATGAATTTGAACGGATGGTGTTTTTGGTCTCTGGGGACCTCAAAACGAAAAAGTAAATCGGTCCCGGGTCTAGGTCTTACCATGAGACCTACGATAATAGCTTATTCCCTATATGGGAAATTCGCTAAAAGAACTAACATCCTCGTAACAACTCTCATGAAATGTAAACAGATGCAAGCAGACGTTTAGGCTTAACGAATGCAACAATCGAGAGAAACATCTTGATTGTACAAACCTCTTACTAAGCAATCGAAACAATCAATAAGCGGAACATCTCGAGAAGGAACATTTTGATTGTTCAAACATCTCACAATTGCGCATCACTCTTCGAAGAACTCATCTAATTTATAATAGCCTAAGGTTTTTGGATTATCTTTGAGTGTTAAAAAAAAGGTTTTTTGAGATTTTATTAGTTTTAGCGAATTTCCCTAGGGAAGTAGCTATTACCGTAGGTGTGGCATGTTAAGACCTAGGCCCGGGACCGATTTACATTTTCATTTTGATGTTACCAGAGGCCAAAAACACCATTCGTTCAAATTTTTATCGATGTACTCGTATATATATGTGTCCGTGAACACGATAACTTGAGTAATTTATGTCCGATTTTGATGAAATTTGGTTTGAAGGTGTAAGGCGGGATAATCTTGAATGAGTTGGCAAACCAGCATGATTGGACCATGGGAACGGGGTTTTACAGGGGGTTAAATGGGGTAAAAATTGGTTTTTCTCATGTTGGACCCTCAAAATACCAAATTTCCCAATTTCTCTCTAGCCTTTTTTAAAGAGCTTAAAAAACAAATCATTTAGTATATCAAAGTGTTTTTTTTACGGATATAAATATTGGAGAAAATTCAAAAAATTGTAAATTTAAAATTCCTATGTTATTCTTATGGAGAATATTGTAAATTGTTGTAGTTTGCTTGTTTATGGATATATTTTGATCAAACTTGGTAAATTTATTTATTTATTTTTTAAGTTATTAATATTTTACTAAAAAAAACACACTTCTTTACCCTCCCTGTAGCAGCAAGCCTAGGTACTCTTAAAACCTAATGTTAATTAAATACATTTAATTGAAAATAAATTTGGGCAAATGAAAATTCGCTTAGTCTGCAGGTTTGCTGCAGCGGGGGTATTATATGTTCTTGAGAGCATTAACAATTTTTGATACCATGCTTTGGGGTACGGTATTTTACTAGTTTTTGACAATCTATGTTGTTGGATATCAAAGTTTTTTATTGTGTTTCTTAAGTTATATTTCTTCTGTCAGTTTTCAATAAGATTTGGGGGGTTTAGTTTTAGGAGGTTCATAAAACTTCAAGGATGTAAAGGTTCGGTACAGTAAATAAGGATTTTGTTTTTGATGAATTACCTTATGGTTTACAGATCTTGTATTTGTAGATTTTCGATTGAATCTTAACGCCATTTTTTGAAGTAGCTTATTTGGATTAGGCCTATAGATGTAGCAATTTGCTGTTCTTCAGGCTATTACTCCGAAGCGCAAGTGAGATTTGAATAGTGCGTGGTAAGTTAGGCTATTTTCAAAGTGTTTTCATCTGTCATGGAGCGTATCCTTCGTATGGCAAATAACTTATTGATGATGATAATTTTTTCAAGTTTTCTAGGTGGTTTTCCCAGATCAGGTGTTGATCTATATAGTTATGCCTAGGAAAGTTGTATGAGTTGCTGATGTTATCAATGCTTCTTTGGTTGATAACTTAGTTCATCTTGTTTATTTGTGGTGGCGAAGTCATTTATTTTGTTCTGTATTGTCCATTGGCAGAAGGTTTGGTAGGTTATTGATGTGGTTGTGTGTTGTGTAAGCAATCTATTGGAGTTATAAAATTAACAAAGATGTCAATTTGTATTCGTGTTCTCTTTTTTTATGAGTTAAGAAAAATGTACACTTGGTATACTGGTTAACTGCCACAGCTTAAACATTGTTTTAAATGGAGGCCTTTAGACATGGTCACTGCAGTTGGCCGTCAGGACACAATGGCCAAGCAGTGTCTCCTCGTGAAACTGTGAGC